TCTCTCTCTCTCTCTCTCTCTTACTTTTTACTCATAGTTGACGAGCCTTGGTCCCTGCTATAACCGGTTGGGCTCCGATGAGGCCCTGTTATAGCCGATAACTTTTAATACAGACACAGAAGAGGAAAAAACGGGGATTTTAAAAATCCCTGTTATTACCGGATCCCTGTTATTACCGGGCCTGTTATATATGGTTTCCACTGTACAACGACATGTGGCGGTCGCACTCCGGAAAGGAAATTCTATCGCATCCGGAGTGGGGCGGGGACTCAAAACACCTTCTCCGCTTGTACATCTCCCTTGTCCGGTCCAGACTTGAGTACGGCTGTCAAGCCTACGGATAGGCAAAAGCACACATCCTGAAAATGCAAGACCCAGTACAAAACCAAGGACTCCGCCTCGCTCTGGGGGCTTTCCGCACTTCCCCGATGGAGAGCCTCCGGGCCGAGGCAAACATACCATCACTCTCACTCAGACGTACACAACTCTCACTACAATACGCAATTAAACAGAGCTCAACACCAGAAAATCCAGCGCACAACTTCATTTTGAAAACAAACCCAGAAACCATAAACAAATTCCAAAACAACGAAAAACTTCATCAAACCAATCGGTCTCAGAATCCCTGAGGACCTCAAAAACTTACACTTTTCCAAACAAGACATCCAACAATTTCTTTTCCCCGAACTCCCTCCGTGGCCCCTCACCAAGGCAAATGTAGACGTACAGCTGACCACACATAACAAAGAAAGCACGAACACCAAAATTTTTAAAGCAGAATAACAAAAACTAATAGATAAATACCCCGGTGCGAAGCTCATCTTCACGGATGCCTCCAAAAAAGACAATAATGTGGGCGCCGCAGCCCTATCCCCCAACAATACACACTAGAGGAGACTCCATCCTGAAGCCTCAATTTTCTCTGCGGAGGCCACTGCAATTGACATGGCGCTGGACTCCGTAGAAAATTCCCCTAACAAATCTTTCCTTATCCTTTCTGTTTCTCTGTCTTGCATCACCTCACTCACAAACTACACACTCCTACACCCAAAAATAGTTAGACTACAACAGAAAATTCACACCCTATCTGAAACAGTAAAAAATATTATGTTTGCATGGATACCTAGCCATGTGGGCATCCGAGGAAATGAGCAGGTAGACGACATGGCGAAGAAAGCTTCATCCCTTCTGCTGGGATCAACGACAAACACTCTCCCACAGACTGACTTTAGAAATAAAGTCAAAAAGTATACCTCCAGTCTGTGGGAGAGCCACTGGAAAAAACAGAAGAATAACAAACTCGATAATATAAAACCCAAGCTGGGACCGCGAAATCATTCGGACCTCTCCAGAAGAAACGAAGTCATTTTTACTCGATTGCGCATCGGACACACGGCCCTGACGCACAAATACCTCCTACAGGGAGATGAGAAGCCGTTTGGTGTCGGATGCGACACAGCTTTTACCGTTAGACACATTTTAACTGAATGTCTAGACTTTGGAAAGATCTGAAGGAAATACTTCAAATGCAAAAAATTGCAAGACATTTTTTCCGTCGTTGGTCCCAACAGAATCTTAGATTTTATGAAGGCTATTGGCCTTAATGGGAAATTATAAAATGAAACAATATTGTAAAAAATTGTATTATAAGAGTTGTTTTAAATTGAAAATATATTTACACCGAATTTTAATATTTTAACATTTTAAAGTCTAATATTGACCAACCGTGCAGTGAACTGTTGCAAATGCAACCAATTTGTGTTTCGCGCGCTCGTATGACCTTATGCAGTTGCGAGCTCCGTAAAACCCCATACTAAACTAAACTAAACACACACACGCACACACACACACACACACACACACACACACACACACACACACACACACACGCAGAGGGAGACAGGGAGAGGGAGTGCAGAAAGCCCAAGAGTACCGTAGGCCTAGATCTACTTAATGTATTCATGGGTCAAAAGTTCAGCCAATAGCAGCCCGATTTACGCCCTCTGTGTAGTTGCATGTAGGTGAAAGATTTCTTTATTTTAACTTCTAGGTCGTCAGGTACAATCGCAGCGGGGTTGTAGTGCACGCTGAAACCGCCAGAAAGCGACCCGACCCGATGACCCGACCCGACCCGACCCGACCCGATCAGCATTCGCTAGTGGGCACCCCCTATAACGTTACTCCGAAGGGCTGCTGCTGCTGCTGCTCCACCTTCTGCTGATACCAGTCTGCACACACCAAATCCTCATTTATGTGTACTAAGCCCTATTGTCCAGCATGCCTTCATGAGCCTTCTGGATACTTCTGCTGTTGCTGCTCCCAGTCCTGCTCCTGCTGCTTCTGAATGTCTTCTACTCCAAGATCTGCATCTCCGGTGGTGGCATCTCCTGGGCACTCTTTATAATAATATGTTATAACATTGCACGCCGACTTACTCGGCGACGAGTCTGCAAGATGGTCAGCATGGTCAGCGAGTTTGTCGGTGAGTGAAATTTTACGCGGCTGCTACGAAACGTAAGCGACCAATATTCGAACTAATTGCTCGACAAGACGCTCGGTGACATGCTCGCCTTCCTAAATTATTGTCTCTCTCCATCTGTACGTGTATAAGCCTGCGTGTGCTTATGTGTAAGAGTGTGTATGTTTGTGTTTTTATCTGTGTGTTAGTGCGTGTGTATAATATGTCTGTATGTCTTGGTGAATCTTTATAAGTGTGTGTGTGTGTGTGTGTGTGTGTGTGTGTGTGTGTGTGTGTGTGTCTGTATGTGTGTGTCTGTATGTGTGTGTGTGAGTGTGTATGAGTGTACGTGTGAATGTATATGTGTGTGTGAGGGTGTGATTGTGTGAGTCTTTGAGAGTTTGTGTATTCTGTGTGAGTGTGTCTGTGTGTGTCTATGAGAATTTGTGTCTGTGTGAGCGTGTCTGTGTATGTGTCTTTTTTTTTGTCTAAGTTTGTTTCTGTTCCAAAGCCGTGGGGGGGG